GAGAGAGAGAGAGAGAGAGAGAGAGAGAGAGAGAGAGAGAGAGAGAGCACGGGCAAGACGTTGAACCGGCATCCCCCTTTTCACCTTGCGAGATATACCCCCACCTTCACCTTCCTTCACTTCGGGTCCGCCCCCACAAGCCTTGACTTGACTTGCATCTCCTTGCCTCAATTTCTCCCTGCCTTTCAAATCAATGATGCTTGCATTCCCTCTAGTCATCATCGGTCTTGTCCTCACCATCAACCGGGGGGGTGACACCGCCGCCTTCGAACGGCAAGGCTACTTCCTCACCGTCAACCTTGGAAGGCCTGCTCTTTGGCCCCGGGGGGTTGGGGAACGGCAGCGGCGGCGGCTCAAAGAAGTCGGCTGCGCGTGCGCCGCCTCCGGGAGGAGGAGGGGAAGCAGGGGGAGGGGATGATAACGATGCGTCCCCGGCCCCGGCGTTGCGAGGCGTTCGGAAACAGTTCTCGCTGGATATGAACGTTAACGCTGGCGGCGCCCAGAGGTTAGTTTTGTGTTGTCTCTTTTGATGTTGGCGAAATTGAGTGTGGACGCGGCACTTGCCCTGTGGTGTAGTCCCTGTCTTCCCTACCCCCTATATCTGGCACGAGATGTCCTCTGTGTCCAGTCAACCGGTCAAGAACCGGTGTCGCAAACGTAACAGCCATGCGTTTCGATGTTGCGATGCCTTTTGTATTTTCTCCTTTCGTTTCTCTCTTTGTGGGAAGGCGGCATGGATTGAGAGGTGATTTACGGAATGTTTTTTCACTGTGGTCATGAGAGCCGTGAATAGGTGAACGGGAGGATAAAAATGTATACATGTCCCTTTTGCGATTGGTGCGGCGTAAGGGGAGTTGTGTACTGTATTCCTGGCCTAAAGAGATATCGCCAAGAGGGCACGGATAATTAGAATTACAGAAGGCCCCGAAAGCATACTGTAACTTGTTACCTTGTCGGATGTGATGGTGCTGAAGCCGCTCTTATGTCTGTCACTTTATAGTGCATTCTTTCACCTGTTTTTTGTCTATACATCTTGTACCTGCTTCGATTGCTGGTGCTGGTGTTGCAGCAGTGCGGGACGCGTAACGGAGAACAAGTCTACGAGAGAACTGGCTGCCCTGCTCAGCAACTCCAGCATCACAGAGATAGCTCAGGTGAGATCAACGTGGCATGGCATGACATAACATCAAGAAAAGAGAAGAGAGTGTTGAGGGACTCCTAGTACAGTGTTATGTATTGACGAGTTATCCACATCGGTCTGTCGATGGTTCCAAAGGTACGAGGAGCTTCAACGCAGTCTCGCAGCAGCCTAGGAAGTCGCTTTCTAGGGTACGGTACAATAACAAGCCGTGTACCGCCTCCCTTGGCCCTTCTTTTTTCGTTTCATGTGAACGGGTGGGTGCTGTGTGTGAGACTCTAGACGCATGCTGCTTCGTCTTGTTTTCGGTCTCACAATGTGTTGGTGTCTGACCGAAGAGTTGACATGCGACTGACGTCGATATCGCGACTCCAACCGCACCTGATTGGATTGCAAGTGCTCTTCACGTCCCCAATTTTTTCGGCTCGAACCCCTTTTTGTTTGCTTTTTTTTCTCGCGTGTGGTGACCAGATGGACGGAGACGTCGAGGTGGACATCGAGCCGACCGATGCTGACAACGACATAGCCATCGCTGCCGAAAACGGCGGCAGCCTGGCAGTGGGAGGGGGAGAGGGTGCGGCGGGAGGGACTGGGGTGTCCGTGGCGGGACTCGACCTCTCGATCGTAGGTTCCAACCACTCCAACTCTCAGCCGAGATCCCGAGACGCGAGCTTCGGAAACGAGGTAAAGCTAATCGATACGTACCTGAGGCAAGGGGAGCCCACTGTGACGTGTCCTATCATAGTGCTACAGTGCAATTTGCGCTCGCGGTAAAGGAGCAAGCCTTGAAGACTCAGGTTTTGACGATACATTTGAATAATCGACTGAAAAACGCACACCTCAGCCGTGGATCCTACGCTACAATCTATTTAGTGAAATATCTATGCTCGACGGTGGTGAGACGAAATAAGAAATCGAGCCTCGACCCAAAATCGACGTTTCTTAAACGCGAGTCGATCTGTATCGAGGTTGATTTGGAACTTGAGAGAATGATGCCGCGACATTCCTGACGTAGCGTAGTAGCTTGTTTGAATTCCAGGCACACGAGAAGTAAAGGCGTGGCCGATACACAAAGCAACTTCGCCGAGCGAGGGAGAGGCATCCACCCAGCGGGTCTGTCGTACTGGTGCAGCGACAATATGCAGCAGCAGCAGCAGCAGCAGATGATGATGATGATGATTTTGAGCTTGTGACGATGTAGACTGTGGATATCTTGCCCGGTTTGACCGATCCTGTTGGCAATGGGTTAACTACGACGAATGTTGCTTCGACTTGGCGCCCAATGCCCAAAGGAAGCTGATCTCTGCTTGTCCCATCAGAATTGCGGATGTGGATAAGCACGACGAGTTTTTGGAACGGCTACTCCGCGTCGAAAATTGCCAACACTTGGACTAAACTACACCATCCACCCACCCACCCACCCACCTTTTTGATGTACTCATCTGCAGGGGATGATGACTCCGTCTCCCCGCTCTCGAAACAGCAGCATGATGGGAGAATCTCCCTCTCCCAGTCAGATCTTGTTCACCCACGAGGAGATCGTGGTGCTCAAGCTGCTCTTCAGCCTTTTCGACAGGGGGGGCAAGGTTGGTTTTGTTGTCGCTGTTTTTTGCCCACTCAGTACCGTCTCACGTCCGCACCTCTCCACCTGACGCTGACGCCTTCCGTGGTCACAGGCCACACTCCACTTCTTGTTTTCGAGTCTTGAAAAAGGGTTGGCGTAGTACTTGGGATGTCTCGTAGTCTTGCTCTTTAGCTGTAATTTCGTCTTCTTCTCACCGATGAAACAAAGCCCTCCGTAGGTCGATTCAAAACTGCTCTACCTCTTTTTGTCAAAGTCCAACCTGTAGAATAACCAAATTGCCCGCACGGGTTGTCCCCGTGTGTGTGTTTCGAATTATTATTATGTGACGGTTTCACAATCTTGAGACCTCAAATCACCAGCATCTGATGGAATCACCAGCAGCAAACGCTATTGAGTCGAGTGTCTTGAACTAGCACGACAACTTGACATGTATTATTGTAGTTTTGTTCAGATCAAGGATGGCCCTACCAGGATTACTTCAGGTATTTAAGCTTTTGGGACGCTCCTACACGTGGCACTATGCCCTCTGGCTCTCCGCCGCTTGCTGTGTTCATTTTGCGGATGAACCTGCACCAGCCTTGTTGGGGTGTGCTTATGCTCGTTATGTTACCGCCGCCCATGTCGTAGAACTTGCTTTGAAGTTCTGGCAATCTCGAATCTTGCATGATCCTGCGCGCGGCACACTCTTCCGTCTGCTTGTGGTTTGATTGGATACCCAAATAATATATATATAAAACAGAACTTCATCACTCGGGACGACATCATCGCCTACGCGGAAGAAGGGGGAGACTTCGCGCAGCTCAAGGAAGTCGACTCTTTCATGGAGGTGAGACCGACAGTTACAGTTTACAGTTACATCCATGGACTTCGCCAGGAAGTATTCCAAACTGAACCCTGGTCGCATGCCCCCCGGTCTTAAATAACACAAGATAACACCTACGGACGGCACACGACAACAAGAACACCAAACCCGGTGAAAAATGTGTTTACCGGTCGACATGGGCCCAGAACACACAATTACTCTCAGATCAAGCGCTAGAGCAACGCAGGACTCGACACCAGAAATAATATATCTGGTAAGAATGCCGAAACCGTTCCATTGGTACTCCGAACTGAAGGTTGAATGTGAGGCGTTTTCAGGAACAGGCCGCCGGTGTATCACAACAGCCTAACCTCAACTCCTTCTACTTTAGGTGAATGAACACTAGCAGTATCGCTCTAACTTGTATTTTCATGCTTTGCGCATGAGGAAGAGATGGGTTTCATTGACTGACAATCGGACAATCGGTCCAAGAACAAGCCTTTGGTTGTTTTCTGCTGTGGTTGTTGTTGTTGTTATGTTTGTTGTCGAGTCTGTGGGGGTGTTCCTCGCTTAACTGTCTCCCCTTTGTCTTACAGGTATCACCCGCAGTTAAGTGTCTAAGCACATGTCAATAGTCTTATAATTTCATGCTCAACATCATATCAGAACACAAGAACTTGAGCACCAGTTGTGAGACCCGGCTAAGAACCCCTACACTAGGACCTATGCAGCGGCCATTTGTAGCCGAACGCTTGGAACTTTCTGTATAACCCCGCCCTCGGCCGAACTATCTTATTGGGATTTAAAGTTCCAATGGTTTGGCTATAAATGGCTGCTAGAGGTGCGGGCACCTATGTGAACATCCCGTACATAAATGTGAGGTGTCGCGTCTGTCACGGTGACAATGACGACAACGCCACTGAAACGGCCCGGTTCCCATTCCCACTGATAAAACTGATAAATGTTTGCGCGTGTGTTCTTGTGTGTCTTCTAAATTAGCATCGACTGCGCGGACTGGCTGACCAATGAGAATGATGTGGCGTCAGGCAGTCTTGTATGATAGTGGTATATGTCACAAGCAACAAGAACACCTTCTATTTTAATCCAATCTTGTCGTGCTTCTGTGTGGCTTGTTCTCTGTTGTTGCATTTGTTGTATACGACGAGAAGGCCATCGACGCAGACACGGATGGGAAAGTGGGCCTCTCCGACTACATCAACTTCGCGGCGAGGCTCAAGGGCATCCACCTGCTGCAGCAGCAGATGCCGACGGACTAACCGAGATGATGAATGGCGATGGCGATGGCGATGGCGATGGCGATGGCGATGGTGACAGCAGGACCAACCCCAACGGCCACAAGCATAGAGAGGGTGAAATTGACCTTTTGGCCTTCTTGCGAGTATTCTGTGGACCCGACCCGCCGTAGCCAGATGACGCATGACTGTTGCTAGACGATAAAAGCAGGAATTTTAAAGACTATGGGGGTTCCCCACACCCCTCTGCTGTCTGAATTTTTAGGGTTCTCACGCGCCATTTCTTGCTTTCTGTATTCTGTATCCTTGTTGGAAATACCGCCGAGCCTCTGTTGTAGGTATTGGCTACCGTGCCGTACCGTTCGAGGCCGCGGGACGACTGCTTGTTTGTGGTCGCGGTGACGAGAGTTGAGTCACGACATGATAGTGCGACGTCGTTCTTTGCTGATTCAACCGCGTTCCCTGTGTTCCGATTCTTACGTATGTATTTTATTTCGGTTGGTTTCTAGACCTTTCTGCACCGAACGTGATAGCTCTGTAGCGGGTTAGAGAGGAGAGGAAAGCGCGCACGCACACACAAACACACACAGAGAGACGAGACGGCCGCGGTCTTACGTACGTCCAAGTATTATATGTCGCGTTTGCGCCGCGGCCGTGTCTTGCTAGAAACCTTGGGTGTGCATTCTACGTAGCGTTAGATCGATCTGCTTTGTATCTCTTCGCCTGCGTCTTGAAAAAGCAGCACACCACAGCAAGGCATAGCACAGCACACTAGCATAGTATCGGTAGTAGCACGCCATTGGAAGTAGTGGATGTTGTTGTTGTGCCTCTTTTCTTTCCGTTTTCGTGTTATTTTCTTTTTCCTTCGAAACGCGTTCGGTGTAACGCAGGGGTAGGGTCTGCAAACTTTTTACCATACTCCCCGCATGACCGAACTGTGGGGCCGGTTTGCAGTTCATCATTAGTACCGACCTATAAAGGGTGCTTGCTCGTCGCCGTCCGCAGGCAGTTTCATGCATACCCGACTTTGCACTCGAGTTGCATCGTTAACCATCGAAGGGCATTGCTCCTGTTGTAGCTGTGAGGTCGAGAAGGAACGGTGGGAGACGATGTTATTGTGTGGTCACGGGCATTGAGTGTAGGGCCTCCTGCTGCTTGGACGTTTTGTGTTCAAGTAAAGTTGCGCGGGTTGGTTGATGCAACTTCGCGATGGGAATCGGGGGACAACATGTTTACCTTGTGTGGCTGCATATTTCCTTAGTACCGCCGGCCGGGATGGATGGTTGATACCAATCCTATGTACTTTACGTTTATTCGTCCAAGGTGCTGTTGTCTGCGATGCCGTCATGAAACGGTTCGAAACTTCCTAATAGTTTGTCATCACATCCCCTTGTCGCGAATGCAAGGGTTTCGCATGCGGCCGAGACCGTACTGTACGAAGCACCGACCGAAAAACGGAGGTCCATGTTGCATTCGAAGTACAGAAGAACAAAAAGAACAAAAAGAACAAAGCGGTGCACGGCGCATATATCTTGATGCCACGTAAGTCTCTTCATGTTGTACGGGTGAACACAAGTGCAGCGTTGTCAAACACGTGGCGTCGGAATATTGATTGGAGGGAGGGGCAGAATGTGGGTGCTCGCTTCCGCACGACAGAACGAGACGAAGACTGACTTTCGTCTCCCATCAAGGGTAGAGGTAACGTAAGCAAGCTTGATGTCGCCCCGCCCACCTCTTTGAAAGGGCCACAAGTATTTAGTAGCATGTGGATGGAACTGGGTTGTTTGTGATGTTTAGAAATAGCAGTCTATCTACAGGTAGATTCATGATTTCTTACCAAAAACCTTGGTTGCACACACTCCCTTTCAATTGAGGCAGTGTCTCGAGCGGGTAGTCCGTGATCTTACGAACACTTCTGAGTCAAAGAAAACACTGGGCACGCTGACCTCGTCACGCCGCTATCTACAGCAGTAGCAGCATACTCCACTCGTTTCTTGGCTGACCTTCTTAAAGCCTCTACCATGTGGGTGTCTGTACTACTGACTGTACAACGGGACGATCAACATCTCTTTCAAAGAAGACATAGTCCACCGCACCACACCCTCCATTGGTGTAATCTGCGATATCGTACACAAAACGTGCTGCGAAAGGGAAAAATAGCGCCTCCTACGCTTGCAGTTCTACTCCGGAGTACAGACAAAACCGTCGCTTCAATCACAATGTCTACAGGCTTGTAGAAGAATCTCGATGCGTGCTGTCATAGCACACAGAAACCGATCGCGCAGAACGATAATGGAAACAACGGAGGTGTAGAAGGATCGACTCTGCTTTCGCTCCACCATAAAAACAAAAGACGCCTGCCCCCAAGACCGCCATCTAAAACGAGACTTAAGTCAACAACATACACGCTGCGCCATGCGCTAACTACCCCGAAGCATGAAGCGCGTGTCACACGCAGTGTGTTGTCCACCTGATTTTGCAGATCTTACATACATGCCCGTCAGAGCAAAAGTAACATCTAGTCTACCTCTACCTCGATTTCCACACGCTTACACATGGATAAAAACAAAGAAGCCCTTATTTTTCACAGAATTGTGCTCATACTTTCAGAGCTCTTGCCCTTCCATCGTGTATCCAGTCACCAAGTACATAGACACACCTATCCGGCGGAGCCATTTTCTACACGCCTCCTTATCTACATCCACCGTGTGGATTTTCGTCGGCCGCCCAGGATAAACGCAGTTGACGTGTACGCATCGATCCCCCGTCTGTACACGCAGCAACTGCTGTCACTGCTGTTGCCAAGGCCAATACCCGCAGTATTCCTGCTCACCCCACGTCTAGAAATGCAAAGCATGGGCACAGCCCCCGAAATGCACATGCATGTGCACACAAAACGCCCGGTCATCCACGTGATAAAAAACCATGTTGTTGTCTACTCCACAGGCGTGTAGGGGTACATGGATAGGCTGGTTTGTTGTGTTTGTTTGTTTTTCTCCCATCATTGGACTCTGTCGTCTGCCCCTCTGGCCCCTATCCTCCACTTCTACTAGCTAGACGGCCCAACCGGGGTCACATGGGAGGGGGGGGTTGGACCCCCTCCTGCGGTTCATGCCTGAGGTATTTTTATCGCGACAAGGATACAGCAATCCCTTCCCTCGCGTCTTACGAAGTCGACTATGGTTTACTAACAAACGAGCTTTGCAGCGCACGCTTTCATCCTAGACCAGGATTTATTTAGTGAGAAAAAAACTCTCTCTGCCGGGACTCGAACCCATGACCTGGCCCTTCGCAGGCTGCGAGGCTACCCACTAGACCACCGGGGCGACCGAAGGCTGGTATACACCGCTGATGGTGTCGGGGTGCTTCCCGCAAAACAACCAAAGGCTAAGGGCATCAACGCTGACTTCGACGTTCTACAAGAAACGCAGTTTTATGGTTGGTCGAAATCGCTTTGTTCCGTGGAAACATCCTGCACACTACAACATACCAACTTCTCGCCTAGTCATTGCGAGAGATGGTACATGAACAACGCTCTCTGTTCGGAGAACGTAAACTTTCTATCACCGCCCCCAGCATCGTACTAGTACAAGCGATTATTCTTCTACAAAGCTTCAAAACTCTTTCCGTCCGCTCGATACGTATGTGTAAGGGCTTACAATCTTATGCTGATAGTGCCAAACACGTACCAGCCTATTTTTATGGCGGCTACTTCGCCAGGCGGGCGCGACGTGCCTACACACACCCGGTTCAACCCGTTTTTTTCGGAGAACAAAGCCCAACAAAACAAGGCAAGAAAATAACAAAGACATCAATGTTTCGCAAGCGAGGTTAAATAAACACTCGACTACACGTTTCCAACGATAACACCATCTGACAAGCCACAACATATTGACATGACCCCTTTTCTGTTAAAATAAAGCCTTACACGGACTCCCCCACCAAGCTCCACTCTTGGACATGGCTGACCCTGAACGCCGAACCAAGCGCACGACACAGGCGAGAAATGGAACACAAGGAGTGGGAACATACGTGTCAAGCGTTATAAGAAGAATAGGGTGCAAGTACACGAGACGAATGGTGGGCACGCATGGTGACAAGACTAACCATATTAGACCAGCTGTACAAGAGGCCCAAGCATACGGCTGGCGAAGAACGCGAACATGTCGCATACTATCACCTAAAGGCATGGCATGTACAGGATAGACGAAGCGTACACGAACTGAGTCGCACGCAAGCAAGATTATTGTTCGGAAAACGACGTCGTGCGTGCCGCAAGAACGCGTGGTCCTACGGCATAAATAAAAATCGAACCATGTCCTACAATAGCCAGCCTCCAAACAGTTAGCCTCAAAGAAATTGCGAATCTAGCCGCAATGTACCTGACCCTTCAGATGTAATGGCAATGGCGAAGGACAAGAAGAAACATTGATCAACCAAGTCTCGCCGCAAGATCGTGTCTCAAGTATTCTCTTTACCTTCGCCTTAGGAACTAAAGTGCACGGTTGGCTGTGACGGTGAAACTTGTTCAAATTTTGCATGCATCTCGCCTATCTCATGCACACCTGCAGTTTCCAGGTCCAACGATACGAGCAAAACCTCGAGGAAGTCATCTTTAGCAAGGGTCTCACCTTCCCAACTTCTGTCTTAGAAGGGCGACGTCTTTGCTTTCATATTGACGTGGGCGAAGAGATTCGTACGTCATGTGGTGGCAGAGGAGACCCTGGCTGGAATCCCGCCCACCCACCAAACCTTGTTAGGGGCTAGCCTGTCGTCTAAAACGACAGATTTCGCTAGTTGTGTACGACAACAATCGGGAAGGCTGCAATATGTGTGCTATGTGAGTATGCACTCGCGAAGGAGGACATACAAGCCTTAGCCTTCGTGTATTGACCACCACATTCCAAGAACATCCAAATAGAAGACGCAAGGACGCGCCGTGAAGAGACACGACTACCTTTCGTCCTCTATTGCTCACCATGCCTGGTGCAGTCTCTCTTCTACCGCTTTCACGGCCTCATCGAGCTCTCGGACGTCGTCCTCGTCGCACACACCCTGCGCTCTCCACCCCTGCAGTGTGCACCAAACAAGCCACAGCCGGGGTGATGGGCAAGGGAGCGTTCCATGGCCAGAACGTAAGCAGCACCAGCACCAGCACCAGCACCAGCAGCGGCGGCAACAACAGCAACAGCAACAGCAAAAACAAAACGATACCCAAGGTAATCAACGCCACGCCTTGACAAGATAGAAGATGAACGCCAAGACACACGTCATACTGACACACTGATGTGCAAGCGCTGCACATGTGGGAAATAATATGCCGTTGGTGCTGCTGCTAACGTTTCAGAACACACAGACACAATTAATCGAGCGGCGTTCTTTGCTTGCCTGTATTACACTGTCCAAGCTGAAACAAGCTCGAGATTCGACCGATACGACATAAACAACAAGAACAACTAAATAAACTGCGTTTCACAGAAAACAACGAACGAGTACACAACAAACATTCAAAGGCACATGCAAACGACATCCAAGATTGTACTCACCTTCCCTTCGGCATGTCTTACGGTTGGGGTTATCTTAGGCTTACCCCCACGGTTACATTAGGGTTGTCAAACCTAAGCCTCAGGTTACCTTAGTATTCCAAGTCTCATGTACCCCTAGGGTTAGGGTTAGGGTTAGTCTACCCTACGTTAGTAGAAGTTCTGGGTTAACTAACCTAAGCCTCCGGTAACCCTAGGGCAATGACAACCCAACCCCAAACGCCGATAAGAACTATCACCGAAGTTTCATTTTGATCACCTGTCCTTCGGAGCGGAACATGTCTTCAGCCTTGACCTGCGTGTACTTGCGCTGGCTGGCCTTTCGAGTCAGCTGGCCTCTTCTAGCGCCTGTGCGGTGCCCCCGCCGCCGCTGCTGTTGCCGCTGGCCGCCGCCCAAGACTCCTACACCGCCCGCCATGAAAAAGGGTTAGGAATAGCCATCACTCAACAGACTCAACAGGTTAGGGTTAACAGTTTTGGTCAGAACAGGGGGCGCCATCCATGCTTACGACCGGTGCAACGAGTGGCTTCACCAGGGTTGGAGTTCTCGTCCCCCTTTCAGCCTCGATTCGATCACGGTCAACGCTTTTCACACAAAAGGCAAGCAAACACCCCCCCCCCTGTTACCCTCTCCTCCAATCACACGTCACAGGGGGTGGATTATCGTCGCTGGCAATGACGTTGTAAGGCAAGCCGATCACTTCGTGCACTCGGCAACCAGGTTATCACTATTTTTTTGCCTCCGTTTTTTTTGGGGGTAACCATAATGGTGGTCGAGTAGATCATGTTGGGTGGGGTCGAGAACCCTCACTCCGTGCAAACGGGATGATCGCACCACGTGGTGTCACAATTGGTCAAGCACCCTCGAGGCAGTTATACAGTGCTTATAACTGTCTCTGGAAGTGAAAGCACCAGAAAATAAACGAAGTCATACGCAGCTGTCATCCGTACGCAAGGAAGTAAGCACAGGATGCCAAACACCCTTAGCAGGATGCACCCTGCATGCGACTCGCCGAATACCTCACGGTGCTTCACCCTTGGAGACGTGAGAGCCTGGTCCGGTGAGAACCCGGCGTGCTCCATCCCGGCTTTGTAGGGATGCGAGGTCAATGGTCTAACGACTACGGCATGCA